TCCTGAGAAGCATGTCAAAGCTCTAGAGGAACATGAAATGGAAATCTTTGATGAATGGCTGATGGAGAAGAAGAGGAAGGAATCTCTCATCAAGTTTCGCCACAACGCTCATGAAGAAGGGGAACCCTCCACAGCAAATAACGTTCCTCTGGCAATGGAAAAGTTGATCAAGGAGTGGAGAGAATCCTTGTTCTCAGAAACTGTTCTCGAGGTAATCCCTACACATCCTCCTTCCCCTCCCAAATCCTCTACTGCTCATCAATCACCCCCATCTAAAATTCCTCCACCATCCCCCATCAGAAATCCAACACCTCAGAAGACCAAATCAAAGTCTCCATCACCCTGCAAACAACCCTCACCTCCAAGAAAGCAGTCACCCTCACCTCCACCCTCCCCCAAACCTCTGAAATCCATCACCCATCAGAGCTCCTCTCATCAGAAATCCCCTACTCATCAGAACTCTCCCTATCAGAACACCCCCTCTCACCAGAGTTCACCCCCACAGCAGAAACCCCTGTCCAACACCAGAGCTGCATCACCCCAAATCTCTCCTCAGCTCTCTGTAGCTTCAACGCCCAAGAGAGAGATTCCCATCCGCATACTCTCCTCAGATGCTGACAATGATGGATTCCTCACATCCTCTCTTGCGGCTGATTTCACATCCAAAAGTAGGAAGACACCTCTAAGGAGGAAGAGGTTTGGAGATGCCCGGGTTTGCTCGAGAAGTGCCTCAGATGGACTTCAACCAGTTCGTGCAATCTGCAGAAGAATTTGGTGGTCAGATGCTGGACAACATGAACAAGCTAATTGTCATAAATTACAAACATTATGAGCATCTGACTCACACCAACATCAATCTCAATCAGGGCCTACATCAGCTATCAGAAAAGCTTGACACTCTGACAGAGTCCCTGCACACATTCATGAATTCATCCAACAAGAAGATTGATGCAGTCTCGAGAGAAGTAGATGGAATCAACTCTGTCCTCTACTTTCACTCTCAATCTCTGAATAATCAGAACAAGACACTGAAGGAGATCACTGAAGCCTTAGAGGTTCTACAATGGAATGCTGATCAAGCCTCAGAGCGCTTTATGGAAATAGGAACTCTGTGTACAGAACACAAAGCACAAGCTTTAGATCTTCTTCAAAAGGACAAGGAGCGTTACCAGAAATTGGTACTCCTTGAAGCCAGTACTCAGAGCATCCATTCAACCATGGAGAGACAACAGAGCCTGATTGAAGGTCTGGCCTCTATTACCCAGACTCTGCCAGAGGCTCTAGATGAGATCAGAGATGCTCAGGCATCAGAGTTCTCTAAGATTGAGCTCCTCCTTGGCGATCTTGTTGATGCCAAAACGGGGAAGACACCAGAGAAGAAGAAGGTCCAAGCTCGAGAGCCATATCTATCAGAGGACCCTCATCTACTGTTGATCCTGCTCCCTATTTCGAAGCTGCAAAGAAGAAAAAGCTAGCTACTGCAGGCACCAGACCTCTCCTCCACCTCCCAGAAGCTCTAAGAAGAAGTCCTCCAACTTTACTTTTAATGAGTGGATGAAAAGTGGGATGTCTAGGCCTGACAGAGCTCAATTTACTCAGATGAAGAAGCTGATGACTCCTCTGCAACAAGAAAATTTGTTTATGGACAGTGATGGACTCGTCCAAATTAATCATGGTGGATCAATACAAGAAGCCGAAATATGGTGGCAAATGAGAGTCCTATCTAGCAAGAACATATCAGAAGCAATCAGAAACTACTTGGATTGCAAGCTTGCACCTCACTGGGCAGATTATCAGAATCCAAGGGACTTAGCCTCCATCAGAGCAAAGGTCAATGCAGAGCTTGAGAGGATTGACAAAGCAGGACCCCAGGTAGATGAAGAAGAAACTTAATTTTATCCATCTCTGTTTCTGTATTTGATCTTCTGATAATAAGATACCATCTCTGCCTCTAGTTTGCATGGCATCTTAAATTATCTGTTCTTTCTTACCTTCTGTGACTTCCTTTCGTTTGCTCTGCTACCTTATTTCCTTTTATATCTATCTGATTGTACTGTACTCTTACTATTTTCCTATGCCAAGTTGCCCACCAAGATTTTAATGAAAGTTTTTAACTTTATTCTTTTATGGTGAAAGGCACTTCTCTGGAAATAGTTAAAGGGTTTTGGCATCATCAAAAAGGGGGAAATTGTAAGGAATAAATGTAATTAGATTTTGATGATGCTAGGTTAATTAGAATTTTAAAGTACCCCTATAGAAATTTTGTATTAGAATTTTTCTTTGTAAGTATTAGCATAGTCGACCTGCCAGAAACCCTCTAGGTCTTCTTTATCAGAACTTCTACCAGAGTTGCTCCCGGAGTTGCTCTCCAGAGAAGCTACCAGAGTTGGTACCAGAGTTGGCATCAGAAGCAGTCATCAGAGTTCGGACCAGAAAACCTCATCAGACCTGCTCTTACCTAGCAGAACTCGAAGGCACTTAACAACGGTCTTTAAACTAACGGGAAATCCTCTAACGGCTAGGAGCCATCCGACGGAAACATGGTATTGTACATGCATTAAATGCTCAATTAATGTTGTACGTACGAAGATATATTCAAAGCTGATGATTGACCATGTGAGTATCTTCGCCCCCCCAAAATAGCAAGTCGAAGGTCCAACCGGTCAAGTCAACAGTACAAGCATTTAATGAAGCTGTCTTCTACACTCCAACGGGAAGACTGCTCCCAGTATATAAGATACACTTTGAAGAACTACCAGGATAACTTTAGCTACACAAACTTGCTCAAATTATTTACTCTGAACTAAATATCTTCAAGCTTTCTTGAGATCAAAGACTCTCCTACCTCAATAAGAAAAGCTCAAGTTGGAAGATATACCTTCTTATCCTTCATCCAACTAACAAGTAGCAAAGTTCCTCAGTTCTTCAACACTTTGAAAGCATCATCTACACATCCTTTGTGAAGAAGCAACGTTAGAGAAAACTGATCTTGAATCAAACACTTCTTGAATTAGAAGGGGCGTCTCAAACTAACTGGAGTAAGTGAAGTGGTGATACTTCCTAGAGACTCAGTGAAACGAGACCAGCCATCAGGAAGCAGGACTGCATCCCGGGTGGCAACTAGACTTGAAGAAGACGTGGAGTGCTTCTTAAGTACTAGAGACTAAGGCGTTGTAAACTGCTGTTTTTGCAAGCTTAGTGGAACAGTGGACTAGAGGAACAAGTTGTTCCTTGAACCACTATAAAAATCCCCGATGTCATTTACTTCACTCATTTATTTCTGCACTTAAGAACTTAACTGTTTAACTCAAAAGGTTGGACTCAGTGTTCAGCAGATCTCCCTCAAGAGTTATCAGAAAGGCATTTGCCTTAGTGTTTTCTGAGGCTACCCTGATAGAAACCAATCCGCTGCCAAGTCCAGTTCTGCCATCAGAACTTGACCTTCTCTGTAACCAGAATTCGACCATCTCTGATAAGTCAGTTGTGACTTAGAGAAAAGTTCAAAAAATCCTGAACAGTCTATTCACCCCCCCTCTAAAATGTTCCCATTCCAAACGGGACCAACAAGAACCGAGGCCCGGCTCGGACCCGGGGGTTACCCGGGACGGTTCTAGGCCTCCCCTTTCATGAACCGAGGCCCGGCCAGGACCAGGCCCCGAACCGGGCACGAACCGGAACCGGTCCACCCCTAGGTTCGAATAGTCTGGAATATACTCCCTCCGTCCCATAAAACTTGGCCAATGTTGTCTTGCACGTGGATTAATAAAGTAAAAATTGTGTGGTTGATATTTGTGCAGAGGAGAGAGAAATAACTTTAGCCACATATTCGTTACTTTAAATGGAAATGATAAAGTTTTTTGGGACGTGAAAAAAAGGAAAGTTGGTCAAGTTTTATGGGACGGAAGTAGTAGGTTTTAACCCAACAACTTTTTGACTCTATTATGATTTGATCCTGATCTTTGGGCTCAAGCAAAAGAATCTGGCCCAACTTTGGATCAATCCTTTTCTTATATTCTTTCGGCCACTTAAGGGCCCTCTTTGTAACTCCTTATCAGGGATGGTAACGGGGCGGTTCAGGGTCGGGTATACCATTTCCCATACCCGCCTCGTTTGATAATATTTTTCCCCGAAACCGCTCCGTTATCCGTCGGATATTTTTTATCCCTGGGTAATGGTTTTCGCCGCGTGTAACGGTTTTCCCACGGGTAACCGTTTTATTAAGAGATAATTGTTTTTCTTCAAAATCAGTATAAATCCTAAAATGATGATTAACAACTTATAAATGACCACAGATAAAGTTTTTTAAAACATCACAAAAAATTACAATTGTTTGAACCTATTATTCACAAATTATATATTTCTAGATTCAAAATTATGAATCTCTTATCACATCAATATCAAATGATTAAGTCTTGTGTCGATAGTAAAATCTAAATATGACTTACAAAAACATTTAATTTCTAAAAATTCAATAATCACACTCCACCAACATTCAACATCTAAATTTAAGAACAATAATGTATAACATAATGAAAATGGGAAGTTTGAATAGGTAGGAATTTCTAAACTTCAGGCGCTCGCCTATAATAGGTAGGATTATGGAAGTTGGAATATGTATTTTTATTCTTAGTTCCTCTTAACGCCCCTCCTCACTTTTTAGCATTTAAATGGAATTTTATACGTAAACTAAAATGCTTATAACCTTGAAATGCAAAAAAACGAATCGGTATCGGTCTCCAAAAATTCTAAACATGACCGGTGCCAGTGGGGACGGGTCCGACACCGATCTTTGATCTGAACCAAAAATAAAGGATTCGGTCCCGTTCTGGGGATCGGTTGTTTCTGGTCTGACTGCTCCGAGACATGGAGTGGGTCCACCCCTACTCAAAGCTATCTTATTTTTCAATTGTGTATGTTCGTATAGCCTCAACATTGCTATGGCAGTATTCCTGGCAGATCAAATGTCCTAATATTGATAAAATACAGTGTTCATTCATAAATTAGTATAATAAAAAACACGTCAAAAGCAAGTACTTATATTACATTTGTGAAAGAAATATCTAAACATTTAGGAAAACTACATCCCATGAGGAAATGTAATTTGAATGCCCTCATATCACAACTATAAAATCTAAAAGACCATTGGCATGGTTACCTCACCGACCAACTAATGAGTTGTTATTATAAAAAATAAAAAAGATCTGTACAATAACTTCCTGCAAAGAGTGAAAGAGGTCTTCTTCCGAGCCTTCACTTCTTACTATTGATCATAGCAAACTCCTCGTGCCTGGACCACTCACTTTACTTGTGAGAATCCCAATTCACTGGCCCCTGCTCGAATAGCCAATTAACTTTACCGCACAACCTATCAACCATTTAGTTACCATTTACTTAGAGCAACTGAGATGAAATTTCTTACTTAACACCTAATATGAAACTATGAAAGCATAATGAAGTGTTAGTAATTTAAACATGATGGTTTTGATTTGTCTCTTCACCTTCGATGTCTTGATATGTCACGCCCCGGACCTATCCGGACACGTCAACAACCCGTCGTACAATACGAATAGTCAACCGCAGTCTAACTCATCCATATTATACAAGGCGTCTCGAATATCATTCACACATTAAGTCATCCATAAACATACATAATAAGTAATTGAATACCCATCGGAAATCATAGTTTGAAAATAAATGCCACACGGGGCAAACACGAGCACGTAGGATCCATAATGAAAAACAGTATCCATGAGCATGTTTAAATGTTTAAAAACAGAATTGGAGGAAGCACGAACCAAGTCTTCCCTCCGAGATGATTGCCCGATCAACAAGCACAGGTAGCAAACTCTAGCATCAACCTGAAATGGTGGTGAGACGCCCCCCGAAAGGGGGTCAGTACTCTATACGGCTATAAAGTACTGGTGTGGATGGCATCTAATAGATATACAACAAGTATTTCAAACACAAGACCCTCAAATAGGGTGATAATATAATCTAGGCCGTAACCCCAAGTTACCCCTTTTCAAAATATACTTACTTTATATATAAAGTCAAGTAGTCGGTCCGTAGGCCCAAGGTTTGTTTACAAAACATAACCCAACCCCGTGACCCCTAGTCATGACAATACATAGGGTCCAACCCTAACACATATGTTTGCATCTCTTGAGTCCAACTCAACTACATCACCATGCACATCAATCACGAGTTAATTACTCCACCAATCTCTAATGTTATGTTCACCCATGCAATTCTAGAGCATCGGGCTCAAATACATCTCCTTACATGGGTTGAACCTAAACCATATGTATACCCAATGTAATTCTAGAGCATCGGGCTCAAGTACATCTCCTTACATTGGCATAGACCCCAATTTCTAAGCACTCGCTATGCCTAGAATTGTAATATCAAAAATCCATTTTGATACATCCTTACGGACTGCCTCATCATGATCTTAGCATCACATTACATCAATTTAGTCACTTGCATCACAATCAAGTACATCAATTACAATCAAATCCTTAGATTCAATTCCTTAACAATCACAACAATCATTAACTAGTATTTCAATACTATTAAGATTATTCTTATCCATCATATATTCCATTTGTAAATCCCTACATAATTAGAGATATGTAGCAGCAACTTAATCATCCAATGTAATACATAAATAATCACTTATGTATCTACACAATTCACACATGAGTAAAATGCCTATTTCACACAGTAGTTCATTTAACTCCAATTTTATCAATACGTTTCCAAATCATTTCCCATTTCCTTCTTTGGCAGATATATCAATATTTCATCAATAATTTATCATCATAATCCATGAAAAACATGATTTAGACATTTAGGTAATCTCATGCTTAACCTACAAGTTGTAAGTAACTAGATGTCGATCCTCACATTAAATGAGCTTTAAATTGTTCCTTCTCAACCCAATACTCAAGATTCGGCCAAGGGTGTTTGAGAATTGATTCCTTGCGTATATATGGATTTTAAACAGCCTCCTCAAGGTGCTTGATCAACTCCTAACCAAAGACACGAAAACAGCCCCTAGAACGGGTGTTTTCCGGCGAATTCGTTCCCTAACCTTTCAAGGTTTAGTCTAGGTTAGTATCTAACCTTTCCAACAATTAAAGTTACTTTATAACAACATTTTAAATACTTCAACCAGTGTATAATAGTTCTTCAATAATTAATAGGATTTAGACAATTGAAAGGAAGGTTTTGGATTCAAACTTACTTTGAATACCAAAAACTGCTCCGTTTTGTTCAAACCACACGCCTATGAATTTCTCGTTTCGAGAGCTTTCAGTGGACATCTCCCACGACTCTTTTGGATGAGTAGAACTCGAGGTATGAGTCGCACAAGATGGCCAGCGCAGTGGAAGTTTTCCCTGCGGCCAGAATCTTCTCCCAGAATCTTCTCCCTCTCTCTATTCACATGTTTATGCGGCTCTCCCTTCCTCCTTATCCTTTGCGTTCGAATGGGGGGGTGAGGGGAGGTGTTTAGGAGCTCTCAAAAGGTTATCCTAACACGTGGTTCACAAAAATAATAGGTAGGGTGTTTGATTCCAATCAAACATGGGATGGTCCTCCTCTTTTATTTCTCTTTTGTATTGTTTGAGCTCTCAACTTAATAGGTCCACCCCATTTATGAGATATAACTTATTCTACTTTTTTTGCAGGTGCTAGGAAGGTGTGGGGCGTACTCTCATGTCCCCTAATTAATTTGGGAGCAAAATATCTACCAATACATCCAAAAGTGAACAGATGAGTCCTATTGTTTTTGTCTTTTGTCATAAGATGTACTTTTGTACTACCCCCAGTTTATTTAGAACATGTCAACCCTCTACATCAATTATTGATCTCTAATATGTGTAGGGTGGTCCCAATAATTTATTTGATGTATAATTAAAAAAGAAAACTCTTCTCCCATTATTTAGCCTAATAATGCCAAAGATGGGACCATAGGCATTTGTATTCTTCTCCAATCATTCCATCATTCATTTATGATGTTAATATTTATATATCTGGGCTACCAACCGTGTGTGTCACCCTCCAATGGGTCTAGGACGCCATTCTTGAATAATTACTATTTTTAGCAGGTTAGACCCAAAATAACATTTGGGCTATCCGACTGCTCCTACATTGTACCGAGAGGTTGTATATCTTTATTTAAGGATGTTGGGCCCCAATATCAATAATATGTCCCAATTAATTATTGAGAAGTCCATTACCATTATATGAGCCTAAATATTAATATGATTAATCATACGTTCAGTAAAACTTTAATCGTTTTACAATTGTTCGAAAATAGGGAAATTCAATACATAAGCTTTGAAATTAAATTTGAATTTCCAGGACGTTCGGGTGCGGTGTCACAAGTTCACCCCCTCTTAACAGGAATTTCGTCCCCGAAATTCACGGTGCTACTCAAATAGGAAGGCGTATTGCTCTCTCATCAAAGCTTCCGTTTCCCAAGTCTCCTCTTCAATACGGTCACTCTTCCAAAGGACTTTAACCATTGGAACTTCTTTACTCCTCAATTTCTTTACCCTTCTATCGGTGATCTTGACCGGTTGTACGGCGTACTTCAAATCCTCCCGTATTTCCACCGGCGGCTTTTCCAATACATGAGAAGGATCATGTACATACTTCTTCAATATGGATACATGGAACACATTGTGTATCTTCTCTAACTCTGGAGTCAACTGTAGATGATATGCTACGTCCCCTATTCTCTCCAGAATTCTGAATGGCCCGATGTAGCGTGGATTAAGCTCCCCCCGGCTCTGGAATCGAATGATTCCTTTCCAAGGAGAAACCTTCAGGAATACCTCATCATTAACCTTAAACTCCAAGGTTCTCCGTCGCTTATCTGCATAACTCTTCTATCTATTCTGAGCAGCTTTGAGTCTTTCTCGAATCAACCTCACCTTTGACTTGGTGATCTCAACCAACTCAGTACTCTCGAGTTTGGCCATGCCAACCTCGTCCCAGCATAACGGTGTACGACACCTCCTTCCATACAATGCTTCGTATGGAGGCATGCCGATACTTGCCTGATAACTGTTGTTATAGGCAAACTCCACAAGTGCTAAGTGATTGTCCCAACTCCCTTGGAACGTACTCCAATGCACAAGCCCTCAACATATCTTCTAAGATCTGAATAACCCTTTCAGACTGCCCATCCGTCTGTGGATGGAACACAGTACTGAACTTCAACCTCGTTCGCATAGACTCTTGAAATTTTGGCCAAAAACGTGACGTGAATCGTGGGTCTCTATCGGACACGATGGTCACCGGAACACCATGTAACCTCACGATCTTGTCCGTATACAATTTGGCTAATCTCTCGAGTGGGTAAGTGGTGTTGATAGGTAAAAAGTGTGCACTCTTCGTGAGCCTATCAACAGCAACCCAAATTGCATCATAGTTCCTGATCGTCTGTGGTAAGCTTACCACGAAATCCATAGTCACATGTTCCCACTTCCATTCAGGGATGGAAAGTGGCTGCAATAAGCCCGCTGGATGCTGATGTTCCGCCTTAACTTGATGACAAGTAAGGCATCGACTGATGTATTCTGCTATTTCCCTCTTCATACCAGACCACCAGTAGCTTTCTTTCAGATCCCGGTACATCTTCGTGTCTCCCGGGTGCATATCATATGCCAAGGAATGAGCCTCCTCTAGAATGGACTTTTGGAGCTCATCATTCGATGGTACGCACACTCGATCACGGAATAACAAGAGACCATCGTCTCTTTCACGAAAATCCTCTACCGGCCCCGCTAGCATGCGTTCTCGGACCTTCTTGAGCTCATCATCAAGCCCCTGCCCCTTCTTGATCTCATCAAGTAAGGTAGGTCTCACCTCAAATCTCGCCACCAAGGCGCCATTAGTTGATACTTCCAATTGGGCTCTCAATGCCCTCAAGTTGGTTATCAATGCCCCCGATGAACTCTTCCGACTAAGAGCATCAGCCACAACATTTGCTTTCCCCGGATGGTAATCAATCACTAGGTGGTAGTCCTTTATCAATTCCATCCACCGTCATTGTCTCATGTTTAGCTTTTTCTGAGTAAACACACACTTCAAACTCTTGTGGTCAGTGTATATGTGACATGTCTCTCCGTAGAGATAATGCCTCCATATCTTTAGTGCAAAGACCGATGCTCCCATTTCTAAGTCATGAGTAAGATAATTCACCTCGTGCTTCTTCAACTGTAGTGAAGCGTAGGCAATCACCCTCCCATTTTGCATCAAAACACATCCAAGCCCTTGGATGCTCGCATCGCTGTAGACATTGTACCCCATACCTTGTTTCTGTAAGGCGAGTACCGGTGCCTCAGTTAACCTTTTCTTCAGTTCTAAGAATCCTTTCTCACATCGGTCATCCCACACGAACTTTGCTCCCTTTCGAGTGACCTTCATCAATGGTGATGCCAAAACTGAGAATTTCTCCACGAACTATCTATAGTAGCCCGCTAGTCCATGGAAACTACGAATCTCCTTCACGTTCTTAGGTCTTTCCCATTCTGTGATGGCCTCAATCTTCTTGTTGTTCACAGAAATGCCTGATTCAGAAACCATGTGCCCGAGAAAGCCGATCTCCTTAAGCCAAAACTCACACTTAGAGAATTTGGCATAGAGCTGCTTCTCTCGTAGTGTTTCAAGAACCAGAACCAAATGTTTCTCGTGCTCCTCTTCATTTCTTGAGTAAATTAGGATGTCATCTATGAACACGATTACAAATTGATCTAAGTACTTATGAAAAACTCGGTTCATCAAGTCCATGAATGCCGCTGGGGCGTTAGTTAACCCAAATGACATCACCAAGAACTCAAAGTGACCATACCTTGTGCGGAAAGCACTCTTCGGTATGTCGCTCTCTTTGATCTTCAGTTGGTGATACCCTGACCTCAAGTCAATCTTTGAAAATGATGTTGCCCCCCGGAGCTGGTCAAACAAGTCATCGATCCTAGGTAAAGGGTACCTATTCTTGATGGTGACCTTGTTCAATTGTCGGTAGTCGATGCAAATACGTAGAGTCACATCCTTCTTTTTCACAAAAAGGACTGGTGCTCCCCACGGTGAATAGCTCGGTCTAATGAAACCGTTATCCAATAGCTCCTGCAATTGGGTTTTCAACTCATTCAGTTCCGCAGGCGCCATTCGGTACGGTGGTATAGAGATTGGTTTGTTGTCGGGCTCAACCTCGATCACAAATTCAATCTCTCTATCGGGTGGAAGCCCCGGTAGGTCATTAGGGAAGACATCTGGGTACTTGCGCCCCGGTATCGATAAGGATTCACGCATCTTTCCCATTAATCTTTAGTGTTCCTACATTTATAAGCCATGTAAGATGCCTTCCTACCATCTATATACATTTATAGTGGTTTATTATGCTCATACACATGTTTGGGATCAAAGAGAGGTCTTAACGTCGCAAATCGGTGCGAAAAAATCAACGTCAGGCAGTCTGGGTGCCATGCACAGCGTGCGTGGGGGGACGCACGCGTGCGTGGCTTCGGATTTCCACCTGGGGCTACTGCCCTCCACGCACGGAGGTACGAACGGAGGGACGCACGCGTGCGTGCAGCTACGCACGACGTGCGTGGAGGGATTATTTTCTCCGGATGGCTACTGCCACCCACGCACGGAGGTACGCACGGAGGTACGCACGCGTGTGTGGGCCACGCACACGACATGACTGGGCAAAAACCAGTCCGAATTCGCCCGAATCTGCCCGAATTCGCTCGGTTTGATCCTGAGGCTATTTGTAATTGACCCCTAGGGTTTATAACCTCAATTTATAGATAAAACACAGGTAAAACACGAGTAATTAAGTGGTTATACCTGCAACGGAATCCGGGTTAGCCTGAGCATCTGCCTCTGTCACCGCATAGACTCTAGCTTGTGCCCTTCCTTGATTCACGGACGGCGCGTTGCTCGCGCTTGCTCCCCCTTTCCCCCTGGACGCTTGGGAAACCCCTACTTGATTACTTGTCCCGGTAGTACCACTACTTGGTCCCGATGCTCTTGCTCCACCCAGTTGTGGGCAATTCATCTTTATGTGCCCGGTGTTCCCGCATTGGTAGCATCTAGGAGGGTCACGACATTTTCCCATGTGGTTCCTCTTGCAATTTCTGCAACGAGTCGCTCCCGAGGCTTGTGATTGCCCGCTCGGACCTTGGCTTCCCCTAGGTGGTAGTGGGGGTGCCCGAAACGATCCTCGTCCTCCATGATTCCCCTTTTTGTTAGGACCTTGAGGTCCATGGTTCTCCCACTTTCTCTTCTTCGCCTCTTCGGCATTTTTCATCTTTCTTTCTTCCCATTCCTTCTCTCCGTTCAACCCCTACTCAACTACTTGGCTGAAGGTCATGTTGGGCAATTGTGTTTCCCTCTCGCATATTTCCAAATCCAGGGCATCCCAGAAGTGGTTAACCATTCGGTTCTTTTCCCAAACATACTCTGGTATGAACTCGGCGAGCTCCCTGAATTTGTGTTCAAGTTGCCTCACCGTCATTTTGCCACCTTGGGTCAGGAGGGTGTACTCTCTCCTCTTAGAGTTCACCTCAAAATCAGAACAGTATTGGGCAAAGAACTCCTGTCGGAAATTCTGCCAAGTCACGGTCCTGCCATACTTGCCTTTGGCTCCGTCCCACCATGTGGACGTCATCCCTTCAAGCAATCTCACCGCCACACTTAGCTTAAACTCGGGGGTGAGTTGCATATCAAGGGCTGCTTCGTTCAACCTCTTGATCCATTCAGCGGCGACCGAGATGTCACCTGTTCCGTGGAAAGGTTTGCACCCCAAGTCTCTCGCCTCCTTGAGAAATTTTGAGATCCTTATGATTGGACCTCCATCACCCCGGCCCCCATGTGGTTCAATGTGGGCCCTAGAGTCACCATGGCTTCTTCCTCTTGAAGCCACACTCGAAGTTTTCCCTCCTCGGCGCCTTCGGCGTTCCCTCCTCTCTTCGCGCTCCCGCTGGTATTGCTCGAGCAGCGCCTCAATTCCTGCTAGGGAGTCATTCTCCACATCTTCATCACTTATATCATCATCATCATCCCCTTCGTAAGGGGTCTCAACCGGCTCGGTCTCCGGCTGGTAAGTCGAGTCCCCATAGGACCAGTAGGTTTCATCCTCGGTGTCAACATGACAGTCGCTCACAGTGTGCGACCGGCCTCCATGGCTCGCCCCCCTAGACACTCTAGAGGCGCCACGGCTTCCCTTCCCGGACCCCACCGGTGCACGGCCCGTCAGGTTCCTTCTTGTAACCTTGCCACCACCGTCCATTTCTGAAAGAAATTTTGGAAAGAGTCATTAGACTCGTATCAAATGTCAATTGACGGATAGGTACTTAAGACACTACTTGGCTCAAATTGCCGTCATACCAATTGCTAATGGTACCATCTTAACAATTAGAGACCTTGCAACTCAAGTACCAAAAGTTCTATGAGTACAAAACATTTATGCTCATGGTTTTTCAAAATCGTTTGGAAAAGAGAATTTTGAGTCTTCATTATGAAGTTTATGGACTAAGGCTCTGATACCAATTAAATTGTCACGCCCCGGACCTATCCGGACACGTCAACAACCCGCCGAACAATACGAATAGTCAACCGCAGTCTAACTCATCCATATTATACAAGGTGTCTCGAATATCATTCACACATAAGTCATCCATAAACATACATAATAAGTAATTGAATACGCAGCGGAAATCATAGTTTGAAAATAAATGCCACACGGGACAAACATGAGCATGCATGCTCCATAATAAAAAACAGTATCCATGAGCATGTTTAAATGTTTAAAAACAGAATTGGAGGAAGCACGAACCAAGTCTTCCCTCCGAGATGATTTCCCGATCAACAAGCACATGTAGCAAGCTCTAGCCTCAACCTGAAATGGTGGTGAGACGCCCCCCCCAAAAGGGGGTCAGTACTCTATACGGCTATAAAGTACTGGTGTGGATGACATCTAATAGATATACAACAAGTAATTCAAATACAAGACCCTCAAATAAGGTGATAATATAATCTAGGCCGTAATCTCAAGTTACCCCTTTTCAAAATATACTTACTTTATACATAAAGTCAAGTAGTCGGCCCGTAGGCCCAAGGTTTGTTTACAAAACATAACCCAACCCCGTGACTCCTAGTCACGACAATGCATAGGGTCCAACCCTAACACATATGTTTGCATCTCTTGAGTCCAACTCAACTAAATCACCATGCACATCAATCACGAGTTAATTTCTCCACCAATCTCCGACGTCATGTTCACCTATGCAATTCTAGAGCATCGAGCTCAAGTACATCTCCTCACATGGGCTGAACCTAAACCTTATGTCTACCCAATGCAATTCTAGAGCATCGAGTTCAAATACATCTCCTTACATTGGCATAGACCCCAATTCCTAAGCACTCGCTATGCCTAGAATTGTAATATCAAAATTCCATTTTGGGACATCCTTACGGACTGCCTCATCATGATCTTAGCATCACATTACATCAATTTAGTCATTTGCATCACAATCAAGTACATCAATTACAATCAAATCCGATTCAATTCCTTAACAATTACAACAATCATTAACTAACATTTCAATACGATTAAGATTATTCTTATCCATAATATATTCCATTTGTAAATCCCTATATATTTAGAGATATGTAGCAGCAACTTAATCATCCAATGTAATACATAAATAATCACTTATGTATCTACACAATTCACACATGAGTAAAATGCCTATTTCACACAATAGTTCATTTAACTCCAATTTTATCAATACGTTTCCAAATAATTTCCAATTTCCTTCTTTGGAATCTATATCAATATTTCATCAATAATTTACCATCATAATCCATGAAAAATATGATTTAGACATTTAGGTAATCTCATGCTTAACCTACAAGTTGTAAGCAACTAGATGTCGATCCTCACCTTAAATGAGCTTTAAATTGTTCCTTCTCAACCCAATGCTCAAGATTCGGCCAAGGGGGTTTGAGAATTGATTCCTTGCTTATAAATGGATTTTAAACAGCCTCCTCAAGGTGCTTGCACAACTCCTAACCGAAGACACGAAAATAGCTCCTAGAACGGGTGTTTTCCGGCGAATTCGTTCCCTAATCTTTCAAGGTTTAGTCTAGGTTAGTATCTAACATTTCCAACAATTAAAGTTACTTTATAACAACATTTTATACACTTAAATCAGTGTATTATAGTTTTTCAATCATTCATAGGATTTAGACAATAGAAAGGAAGGTTTTGGATTCAAACTTACTTTCAATACCAAAAACGTATTCTGCGAGGTTGCGTTCTGTTCGGATAATTTGGAAGCCTTAAACTGATCCGTTTTCTTGAAACCGCACGCCTATGGATTCCTCTGTTCAAGCTCTTTCGGTAGACACCTCCCACGTCGCTTTTGGATGAGTAGAACTCGAGATATGAGTCGCACAAGAAGGCCAACGCACCGGAAGTTCTCCTGCGGCCAGAATCTTCTCCCTCTCTCTATTCTCAGGTTTATGCGGCTCTCCCTTCCTCCTTATCCTTTTAATTCGAATGGAGGATGAGGGGAGGTGTTTAGGAGCTCTAAAAAGGTTATCCTAACATGTGGTTCACAAAAATAATAGGTAGGGTGTTTGATTCCAATCAAACATGGGATGATCCTCCTCTTTTATTTCTCTTTTGTATTGTTTGAGCTCTCAACTCAATAGGTCCGCCCCATTTATGAGTTCTAACTTATTCTACTTGTTTTGAAGGTGTTAGGAAGGTGTGGGGCGTACTTTCATGTCCCCTAATTAATTTGGGAGCAAAATATCTACCAATACATCCAAAAGTGGAAAGATGGGTCCTATTCTTTTTGTCTTTTGTCATAAGATGTACTTTTGTGCTATCCCCAATTTATTTAGAACATATCAACCCTCTACATCATATGATTTATCTCTAATATGTGTAGGGTGGTCCCATTAATTTATTTGATGTATAATTACAAAACAAAACCTTACTCCCATTATTTAGCCTAATAATGCCAAAGATGAGACCATAGGCATTTGTATTCTTTTCCAATCATTTCATCATTCATTTATGATGTTAATATTTATATATATGGGCTACCAACCGTGTGGGTCACCCTCCAATGGGTCTAGGACGCCATTATTGAATAATTACTATTTTTAGCAGGTTAGACCCAAAATAACATTTGGGCTGTCCGACTGCTCCTACATTGTACCGAGGGGTTGTATATCTTTATTTAAGGATGTTGGGCCCCAATATCAATAATATGGCCCAATTGATTATTGAGAAGTCCATAACCATTATATGAGCCTAAATAATAATATGATTAATCATATGTTCCGTAAAACTTTAATCGTTTTACAATTGTTCGAAAATAGGGAAATTCAATACATAAGCTTTGAAATTAAATTTGAACTTCCAGAACGTTCGGGTGCGGTGTCACATGATAAGGTTACATAACTAATGTGTGATATGGTTAAACTATGAATGCGTAATGAAGTGTTAGTAATTAAGGATGATTTTTTATATAGGGAATATTGCAACTATCATTGCAGTAAGGTTTATATCCTTTATGGTTCGATGGCTTCAACTTCTACGGCGGCTCAGCCGCCGCCTATGCCTCCAGACGGTGGGAGGAAATCATTTGCTTCTGCGTTGATGGGTATTGCGTCAGAACCAATTAAGGCAGCCAGTTATTCCAAGTTCAAAGGATTGCCAGCGGTGACTTTTTCTGAATCGGATGTGGAAATTCTGGCTGCTAAACATAAAAATTCTCTGGTGGGTTACTTTTTCAAGGATCGGCCTTCCTAGGCTACACTGCGTAAGTCTTTTGAAATTATTGGCTTCAAAGGAAAATTTCATCTTGGGCTATTAGAGAAAAAACATGTTCTCATTAGATTTGAAATGGAGGAGGATTATATAAGATGCTGGAATAGACAAACATGGGACATATTTGGTAGCATTATGCGAGTCACTAAATGGTCTACTGATTTTAGACCTAATGTTGAATCGCCCGTGGTGCCGGTTTGGCTATCGTTTGAGGGATTACCAATTCATTTACATGATAAAAGAGCGCTGTTTGACATTGCTAGACTAATTGGCAATCCGCTGAAATTGGATGCAGCTACTTCAAGCCTCTCAAAACCATGGGTGGCTAGGGTTTGTGTTGAAATCGATCTTACTAAGGAAATGCCTAGTAAGATTTGGGTCCAATCTGGTAAAAATGGTTTTATTCAAAATGTAGTGTATGAAAATAGGCCATCCTATTGTATGTCATGTCTCCACCTGGGACATGATAAGACTAAGTGCCCTAAAAATGCTAGTCTAGGCAATGGCCAGATTTCAGGTGGGAATGACAAGGGAGGTGATTATCCTAAGACTACAGCAGTTAGTTACAGAGAAAAGCAAAAGGGTGTTGTTATTACAGAAACTGGAAAAGGAAATGAACATCAGAAAAATAAATATATTCCAAAGGTGTTGGCGATCAATCCAATACTTGAACCAACAGCTGGTCCAAAAACTACCACTCCTACTGACTCTGATGTTGAAGAAGTCTTCCATGAAGACCCTCCGGGGGCTATTGCATTTACCTCACTTACTGACAAAGAGAAAAGTATTTCGAAGATCAACAAACAACATCTAAAGAATATATTACAAAAATAGATTTCAGGTCTATCTATTTAGAAAGGTTCATTTGAAGTGAGTGAACTGTGGATTCCATGTTACCTCTGAGATGTTGAGGTAATTTGAATTCCAGAACACCCAAATTTTATTAATCTACAGAAATTGTTGGAGTTTGATCCAGAAAAGGCTACCAAAGAATATGCATCAGATTCAGACATACCTAATTGTGCAGAAAAAGTCGATTCCTGGAGAGAAGTATTACCTTCCATCAGTAGTAAGGTGGACATCATGCTCTTGCTTCAAGGTCTGGTCCAAACAATCCTGAATGTAATGAGGAACAAGAGTTCATAACAGTGGGAAGAAAGAGAAGAAATAGAAAACCTAAACCTTTGGAAAGCTTCTCTATGCAAACAAGAAGTACAGCCAAAAGGCTGGATAAGATTTCCCCCAACCTTTCTAAATGAACTGTCTCATATGGAATCTTAGGGGTTTGGCTGCCTCCTGTCCAAGCCTAACTAATCATATTGTTAATTGGAGGAATAATCTTCTTATTGTTATTGAGCCAATGGTTGATGTTAAAAAGGCTACTTATTTCAAAATGCAGCTTGGTTTTAGTAATGTTATTTACTCTGCTATTAATAAAATTTGGGTGTTCTGGAATTCAAATTACCTCAACATCTCAGAGGTAACATGGAATCCACAGTTCACTCACTTCAAGGTTTCTTCTGGTAATTTCTTTGGTTGGGTCACAGGAATCTATGGTCATCATACTGTGGTGGAAAGAAAAACGCTTTGGGAATCATTAACATCTTATGTTGATCATGTTAGGGGACCTTGGTTGATTGGTGGAGACTTTAATGCAATTATTGATCATGGGGAGCATCTGGGAAATTCTAATCCTGATATACAGAGTATGATTGATTTCAAAAATTGTATTTCTGATTGTGGACTGATTGATTTGCCTTTCTCTGGTAATAAATTTACTTGGACTGGAGTCAGATCGAGTGGTAGGGTCTGGAGAAGACTTGATAGGGTTCTGGTGAATGAAGCAATGCTTGATGCTTTTGACCTTATAAAAATTAACCATCTTAATAGGAGTCCTTCTGATCACTCCCCTTTATTGATTCAATTAAACAACAACAACCAATCTGGGCCAAAGTGTTTTAGATTTCAGAACATGTGGTTATCACGTTCTACCTTTATGGATACAGTTCAGAACAGTTGGCAAAGTGAATTCTCAGGTGGAGGTATGAGAGGATTGGTTAATAAATTACAGAGATTGAAAAAGGATCTACGCAGTTGGAATAAAAATGTTTTTGGAAACATTTTTGAAGCTATTAAAATAGGAGAAGATCAAGTTCAACAAGCTGAAATGTTATTTCAAGATCAGCCTTCTGAAGAACATAGAGAGGATTGGTCCCACAAAAAAGCCCTTTTACTTTCTAAATATAAAATGGAGAGGAAATATTGGAAACAAAAGGCACACATTTCTTGGTTGAAAGATGGGGATACTTATTCTCACTATTTTCATTCTTTTGTGAAAATCAGAAAAAGAAAACAATTCATCTGCTCTATTATTGATACTCAGGGGAATGAATGCAAAACCTTACCAGAGATTGGACAAGCTGCAGTGAACTATTTCTCAAATCTGTACTCTGTTGAACCTGAGGTTGATAATGATGAGATCCTGCATTATATTCCATCATTAGTTTCAGAAGAAGAAAATGCTTTTCTCTCTCAAATACCTACTGAAACTGAAGTGAAAGAGGCTATATGGGAACTAAATCAGAATGGAGCTCCTGGGCCTGATGGTTTTTCTGGTAAGTTTTTTAAAAAATGCTGGAAGATTGTGAAGAATGATGTTATTGGAGCTGTTCAAGAATTCTTTTTGGGTATTCCTCCTCTAAAGGGTATGACTAGTTCTTTTGTTGTTCTCATACCTAAAGTGGATAATCCTACTACATTCTCTGATTACAGGCCAATCTGCCTATCAAACTTTATATCTATGGTTTGTACTAAAGTCATTGCTAATAGACTTTCTACCATTATACCCAAACTGATTTCTGAAGAACAAGCTAGTTTTATGAAGAATAGAGAAATTGCTGACCAAATCCTTATAGCTCAAGAGATGATTCATGCTATTGATAAAAAAATCAGGGGTTCTAATGTGGTGATTAAACTTGATATGGCAAAGGCTTTTGATAAACTCTCTTGGAAATACCTATGTGATGTTGTGTCTAGATTTGGTTTTTCAAATCATTTTATATCTCTTATAAGATCCAATCTTCAGGCTACTTTCCTTTCCATTCTTATAAATGGGGCATCTAAGGGTTTCTTTCAACCTAAAAGGGGAGTGAAATAGGGAGATCCTCTCTCTCCATTCTTATTCATTCTTGCCTCTGAAGGCTTTTCTAGGGGTTTGAAACACAGAATGATGGAAGACAGAATCAAACCTTTTTGGATGGGTAATGTGGGTTATCCTATAACACACCTTGGTTTTGCAGATGATTTACTTATTTTTACTAATGGAGAGGCTAGATCCTTATTAAATTTCAAGGCTTTTATTGAAGACTATCAGATTGCCTCTGGACAAACTGTTAATCTGGACAAAAGCCCTTTCATATGTGGAAAAACAGCCTTGGGCAGAGTTAATATTATCAAAAATCTGTTGGGGATGAGGAAATCTGAGCTTCCTATGAAATACCTAGGTGCAAACCTCCACAAAGGTGTTAATAGATTGCAATATTGTGATAATATTATAAAACAATTTGATGATAAACTTACTTCCTGGAAGCAGAAGCATCTTTCTCAAGGAGGTAGGTTAATTTTAATTCGTCATGTTCTGAACTCTATCCCTTTACACATTCTGGTTGTGGACCTTTTACCTAGAAAGGTGATTACCATTCTAGAGAAAA